AAAAAAGCAACATAGTAAAAGGGGCATAACTTTGCAAAAGTTTAGGATTATCTTCCCTTTGAAATGGCATTTTTAATGACAGTAAACATTTAGTCCAAGATTGAAGTAAATAGATTTTACAGTTTCTGATAAAATGGACCTTAACAGAAAGTTAATTAATGTCGATGTCCATTTTAAGTGCTTCACATAATCTTTGTAAGTTTTCAAATTTTATGTTGTTTTTTTAAAAATACTTTTTGACCTCTGTGGTACTCCTTTAAAGCACACTTAATAAGATTTCAAAATTTACACAGTTGTTATTTTATTGGCAAGATTTTTAACTAGTAAAAAAAAAATACAAAGAAAAAGAGCACCTATATCAGTAACTACCTGGTAAATCTTTGACTGGCTGTGATTTAATGTAATCTGATACAAGATCTTCTGTCAGGTAGAATTGACCGTTAGGTTTAGCCTTCCTTGTTGCCATCCTGGCTAGTAGTATACTTGATCCTAGAAACACAGCAGAAACAATGTACATATATATATATCACCATTCCCTCACATTATTTCCTATATCTTTTTCTCATTATCATATCAAATGTCCATGTAATATTTAAACAGTTTTACCAATGAATGTTATTCACATAAATATTGTTGTGCCTAAACATCAGAAACATTTATACAAATATATGATCTTTTTTTTTTCCCTAACATTTGTGATTTTACAGAATACTTGCCCCCATCCCACACCCTCCAGCACTTACCAATGCCTGCCGATGCTGGACACTGTGTGTTTGTTGGAAGAGTTGAGAACGAAGTAGTGTGGCAAACTCTAGAGGTGTGGCTCCCAGTATCTGCCAGTAAATCTGTACAATCAACTAACATCTCATCACAACTTACAGCCTCTATATCATGTGTAAAACTGTAAATATAATCAACCTATCATTAACTATTACCATTATTTTTAAATAGACTTGTGTGGCTACCATAACTTCACAACTTTGGTCCAGATAGAATGGAAATAAGGGGAGGTAACTGAATTTGAAAAACAAAAGATCCATAAACTTAATTAATATTTATATGATTTAATTTAAAGGAACAAAGTTAACAAAGAAGAAACATAAGATCACCTTGCTACAGTATCATATAATGTTTTAGAGACTTGTTTGTAGCCATCAAAGTCATAAGGTATTGTAACAAGGTCTGGGCATATACTCTTAGCTCTACCCATAAACATACCATTCTTAACACCAGCCTGAAATCATATAACATATTCATATACAGTATTACAGTATAATAATTGCTACATCAAATGAAAATTCTATTATCTTAAAAGTTTATGCAAAGAAATGATGATAAGCACTTAGACAACTTAGCTGTCATACTGGCTTAACTTTCATCAATATGAACAAATCATTCTCAGTGACATATTTTTTTCTTTCTCTTTTTTTTTATTAGGTCAGTTTCAGTTTTAGCAACATTATTATTTGTTGGGTAGAAATACAATTAATCTACTTGTTTCTTTACCTGCCTTGCTTCATAGCTGCAAGAAGCTATCTCAGCCATTGAGTGGAATGATTCTATTGTTGTCGTAGTAACAGCACTGACAGTATTGATGACATCATCTGTGACATCATCATCAGAGTCAGACTGATCTGGAAAACTCATATCATCTAAAACAAAAATAATAAATAGACTTTATTATTTATAATATCTTTATGTTTTCATTAAAAATAGCAATGTGAAAATTATTTTTCAAATTGTGAAGATCTTCACAAGTCTTTTCGGATTACAAAATTTTTTTGTAGAGAACAAAATATATGATTTCATACATCAATAAACACTGCAGTCTTATCAATGTTTTGATGGATACATCTTATCAGAGAAATAGATTTTTTTAAACTTTTTCTTTTGCGAAGTTTATCATTTTTCTTATGTATAACAGTAATATTTACAAAATAATATTTGTTTCTATTAATTTAATGATTTAGAAACAAATTTTCTTATTTTAAATGATAACAATTGGTTTAACAGTTACAAAACAATACAGTTATATCTCGTGTATATGGGTGGGGTAAGCAATTAAATTCTACCTGTCAACAACCAGATCTCGTAAATGTTATAAATAAGAATGGCCTTTACATTGGGATGAGAGACCTTAGACTCCATCATGAGCTTTAAAAGGATGTCAGTGTAATATGTTCCAATGGGCCAAGTTCTTAAAATACTATACATACTGATGCAGTAAGGTAAATGATTTTATCACAACAAACTTATTCTACTCTACACTTTATCAACCAGTTTCTGCCAACAGACTAACAATCTAGCAACAGACTAACTTCGGAATTAAGAATATTTGTTTTTTCCCCAGCTAAACCTTAGTGGTTGGGGACCACCAAAACCGGACAACCACCAAACCCGGACGGCCCCGAAAATGCTTAATTTAGTATTTTCGATGTTCAGTGGTTTTCAGTCACTTTTTCATCAACAATAAATGCATGTTTCTACTACAATTAAGTAAATAAATTTATATTAACCTTCGTAAATGGTAATATTTCAATGCCTTTTTCTAGAATGTTGACATTGTCATTTGGGGGGGTTAAGAATGCATTGCCTGACCTCATATATCAGCTATAATCATTTGCAAAGTAAACAATAGAATATCCAAACTTAAGCATTTGTTGCTGAAATATTGTATATCATGATTTAAATCTAAAATCAAAACACCCAAGCTTTTATCTGAATTAAATCATGTGATGTACATATCTGTCCGGACACATGGTACTGTAGTGTAGACAATCTAGGTAATTTTGATACCCTCCTTGTCGAGCCTCAGATATAAGTGTCAATACAATCAGAAATAAACAAACTAGTTTGTTAGTTAGGAGAAGAACCTAGCTAAACTGTGTCAAATTTTAAGGTCTCTATGTTAAAAATTATGAAATCTGTACGGAAAAATGTTCAAAAAGTGTCCGGTTGATGGTCCCCGACCAGTAGGTACAAACTTTTACAGTTACAGCTTCAAACATAAGCTCATCAGGCCGACTTATCAATTGTAAACAGTAGTGCATCCTTAAGCTAAAACAGTAAAAGTTTATACCTACAGATTAGCTGGGAAAAACCCACGTCATTTGCCGAGTTCCGGATTAAATCTATTCCAAAAACTGTGATTCATAGACAAAACCGATATATATACTAGTATATTACCATCTAAACTGGTTGTGTCAACTGGTTTAATTGTTTTCTTGCCTTTGCCTCTTCTCTGTAACTTTTTCTCCTCCCACTGACGTCTCTCCAGTACTGGATCAGCTAACGGGTCAGGGGTTTGACCTTTACCCTTGGAATGTGTTACAGCTACAGGTTTACCTGTACACAAAATTATTATTATAGAAATGCTTTGATCCAGTAGTCATATTATAAAATTGTTTCCTAGGTATGTAGTGTACAAAGGTTGACAAAGTTTTAGTATTTGGTGAGCCTAATTTCCCTATCCATTTATAACATGATACATGCAAAGTTTCAAAAATTGGACTAATGATTCTAAAAAGGACAGAAAAAACCATGTCAATATCTCCTTTCTGATTTAATCTGTGGAAGATAACATCTGAAGTTTACTGTGAATGAAATGGTATTCTCATTTTGAAGCAGCAAGTAAAAACAATATCACCATTATATAAGATTTATAAATATGAGGAAAATACTTAGCTACAGTATTTATGCGACACGTATGGTACTTTTACTGTAAATCACAAGCCTGAGTTATTTACATGTATTTTTTTATTACTCTCAACAAATACTGAAACTTTCAACTTACTGTTCTTCAAGTAGTACAGTTTGATATCTAGAAGCTATAAAACATACAATGAGCTATTTTTCACTCAAACTATTACCCATTTATATGGATTATGAGATAGATTTAATCTGATCTTATAAGATATTTTTTTTTTTTTACCCTCCATTTTTGACAATATGCAACTACAACATCTACTAGTGAATGTTATTTTAGATCTCACATGACGAATCCGAAGACACTGGCGCAGCTCAAACCTACAGCAGTAAGAGGCAAGTGGTTTGAAGTCAACAACCGTAATAACTCTGCAACGGAAGCCTCTTAAATTGTCTTACTACTAAATTTTTTATTAAACATTCCCTTCAAGTGACATTATGCCCATCCAAGTGTATAAATTAGTGAACTTCAAAATAAGTGTTTATTTTGCCATAATTTCTTTTAATAAAAGCAATTATTTCACAGTAACAATAAACAACGCAATGATCCAAACAATTTTTTTGTAAATATCCATTAGAATATACCTGTTATGTTCATTTCATAAAAAAGTGGGGCAGTCTTTTTATATTTTACACAGATTTTAAAGTTTATCAAAAGCATTTTTCAATATGAACTGTTGGTCAATCACAATTTTAACAGTCAATATTTTGAAATATATAGTGAGTTAAGCTCAACTAGACTATTAAAATATGAGCATAATGTCACTTTCAGGCAATTACTTTCGCTTTTTTACTATTCAATCAAATTAAAAGTGTTTTTAGACAAAAAATCAGTGTAACAGTGCCAATGTCTAAGTCATATGGTACACTTTTATTGATAATAAGAATAATTCTGATTGGCTAATTGGAATTTAATATAACAAATAAGTGATGGGTAATAGCAATAAAAACCTCTCAAGTCTGGCCTCTTCCTCAGTCCAACAGAAACAAAGAAACAATCCATATCTATGTGCATCACACATCTTGATGGTTTTCCTCTCCTTTTGTTTGATAAAGGTTCATCAGGAGTTACTGCCCTTTCCTGAACAATCTGTCTAAGTTGTTCCCTGCCTGGAAAAATTACCTCCTTTACCTGTAGCTCATTGACATAATTTTTCCATTCTGCTTTCCAAGTAGATAGGTAGTGTAGCCCTCGAGTTGCTGTAAAAACTCATTTAGAAATTTAGGATCTCTGGCATCTGCAGTCTTCCCAGGGGAGATCTTTTAACACTCTTATTTAATTTACCATCACTAATATCTTTAACTTGAGTTTTTCCACAGGAAACTCCATTTCCACTGTTTGTGCTGCTGATTCTATTTAAAGAACTGTCTTTAACGTAAGTGGACAATGAAATATCACTAATGTTACTATCTTTAGATTGGGGAAAACTCCCTCCAGACTGGTTACTGTTCTCTGTTGATGTGGTAAATGTATGTAAACCCTTCTGTAATCCACATTGCGCTGTATACAGCTGATATTTTGCATATGAAAGGGGCTTTCCAGCACAAAATTTTTCAGATAAAGGAAAAATTTTTACTAACCACTAAAAAAGCTTTTATATAAAAAGTATAAGAAAAAATGGCTTAAAAAAATTTTTTTTTACACTATGTATAAAGCTGAGAAAAGATTTGGGACCCTTTAAATGGCCCTTTTTTAAACAGTAAACAGATAAAACATTTGAAAAACCCCTTAAAACTGAACATAAAGCCCTCAGCATTTTTTAACCCTTTGAGAGGGGAGGACAAGTTTTAAATCGCAATCTTAATCATTTTGTATAAGATGTTTTGGTATTTAAAATGCAAGGGCCAAAGGGTGAAAATTTTTAATAAAACATTTTTTCATTGGGAAATGTTAAACCCTTTAAAAATTGGGGATGCGAGGTTTTTATCAATAAAATTAAAAAAATGAAGGACCAAAAAATTGGTTTTTACACCAAAAAAATACAAAGGGAATTTTTGAGATTTGTTCGGGTATTCCAAACCCCTTTTAGTATCCTTCAGGTCGGACAAAATTTTAATTCCTTTTAACTCCTTCACCTTTTGTTGGTAAAATTTTTTGCTATAAGTGGGGGAAGGGTTTGAATAAGAAAAATGTTTTTATTTTAAATTTCCCCATTTTAACATCATTTAACTTCAAATATTCTGATTTTTATTTGGGTTTACATAAAAAAAGGATAAAAAGGTAATAATTTTTGTTTTAAATTGTGTATTCTGTAAACGCTATATTACACTACCTCTTACATTTGAGATAAGTGTCAGGTGATTTTCTAAAACAAGATGGATAACTCGTATGTTGCTCAAAACTCCAGAGACAAGATATTAAGAATGTTGATTCATACAAAATTTATTTTAATTCAATTGTGTAGGAAGCTATAAGCTTACGGACACACTTTTGAAACTGTTCCTGGAGCCAACCAGTACTGAGCAATGAATGTAAAGTTTCTTGCTCAAGGAAACAACAACTTGTCCCCTTAAGAGTGTTGTTTATTTAAGAAAATTTATGGAATGACTATCCAATGCTGGCATAAAATGGATCATTTTATTGTAATATTCATGTATTTGCTTTAAATTACAAATTAAATGTAAACTTACTTGTGTAACCATTCACATATATACTTATGCCAGCAAATATCTTTGAGCCACTGCCTTCCTTCTTCAACTGACCTGGGGCATCTTCATCAAATTGTTTTTGTAACTTCTGTTTCTTTGCATTCATGTAACCACCCTACAATGTAAGCAAATTTCAAAAATATGACCTTGACAGTCAAGGTCAATGAAAGGTCAAAGTCATATCTCTGTATGGCATTAGGGCATTAGAATAATAATATTCTGCATTTGAAGAAGTGCAAGTGAAGGAACTCATTTTATAGATTCGTTGCTATGGTAATTAACCAACATCACAATCAATGTAATCAATGTACAACATAATAAATATAACTACACAAATTTACAGTTTACTGGTGCATAATTTGAACATTACCCTTCATTTACAATTAGATAGAAATTTTTGCAGTGTTTCAATTAAGTTATAAATGAGATTCAATTTGCCATTTTTATAAACTTATATAAAATTCATTTTCAAGCATGACATTTTACTTTCATTGTATTTATGTATGATTATACCTCTATGAACAGTTTTCATATTTGTTTTAAGAACTAGCTTGCCCTTTCCTGCAGACAACATGAATTTCAATTTATCCCAATGCAATTAAATTTTAGCTTCTCTTCTTGAAGTTCTTCACCTATCATGCTCTTTGACATCAAATCAGTGCTTTTTCAGTGTAGAATTGTGGCAGAGCACATAGAGAGGGCAAAATGCACCACAGAGGGAAATAAGGGGAAATTTAGACTCTGTGTAAACAATTCACTGTGTGTTAAATAATCTTGCTAGATATGTTAACTGTGGAGCAATACCATTATGTTTTCAAACTGAAATATCCCTTTCTGTTCCATGCTTGTGAATAAAAAATCTCAAATATTTCACAGGACATTTTTTTCCAATATGGGAAAAATATCTGAGAGGGAGAGCAGTTTCAGGTTCATTTCTTTATCACATGCAGACTTTATAATTTGTTACTGTCACTACCAACTGACAGTAAGACTGTATAAGGCACTAATTGTTCATACCCACACTTCCCAGCCATCATCTCTAGACCTGCTTCTAGTGTTACGTCCTCTACTACTCATCTTTGTTTGCTGGGGACATTCTCATCAATCTAAAAATAGATATTTTACTGGGTTGTATTACCTTAATCTCAAAACATATTATGACATAATTTGTTTGTTTGTTTCATTTTACGTCTTTTCCCAACAGTATTTCAGTCATAAAGGCGGGTAGTTTCCTAACCATCGTTCCTGGAGAGTTACACCAGTACTAGACTACCTTCCTCAACGCTAAACTACCAAAGCATCTCCAGGGGATCAAACCCACGCCAGAGAGATAACTGGATTAGAAGTCATTGACTCTAACTCCTCTACCACGGAGGCGTTTCATTATAACATAAAAAATAAATTAATTTTCAATATGAATATTCACTGCAGCCCAGTTATAAAGGGGTTATGTTATAAAGGGGCTGCAGTGTACATGTTAATTGTAATGAATAGGTTTTTTGTTCTTGTTTTAACAAAATTCTAAGATAATGTTCAACTGCTGAATATCAGGTAACTTTATTCTTTTATAAACTGTAATACCTATTCACTATTGTAATTTTAATTTGATACATTCTATAAAAGATTTGCTTAAAAAAATATATTTGGTCCATGCGTGCAAAGTCGCGCATCTGATGATCTTTTCAACTCAATTCAGTTAATCTTCATCATATCCTGAAAGCTTCTGCCATGTTTGTTTTTACTCGAGGTAATGACTAAAATAGGTACTAAATCACATTCTTTTTGGTATGTCATATTGTCAGGTAAATGCATGCCCCCCACATTTTTTTCTAATCCCCTACATTTTTCAGTTGAGTGGGGGACACTCCCCCATAGATGCAACACTGGTACTCATTGTGTTTTCTGCGTGAAAAATGCGTGTTTGTATGTGACTGGGCATGCTGTAACAGTTGTACTGTATAAATATTGTCTTCTTATAATATCAAACACTTTCGCCCCCTCCTGATAATAAGCTAACAAAGAGTCGTCAGTGACTTCACAATTAAAATTTAATTTCTAATATCATTTAATAACAACCGTTCTCACAGAAATGTATATAAAGAATACACATCAGGTATTTCACCACTGCGATTGTTTTAAGAAATAGTTTACTTAGTATTTTCATTTGCTGTTTGAAAAAAAAAAAAAAAACAACATCAAAACATGTGACTAAAACTTTTGGTTTTTATTTTTCAATCCGCATTTAACTCTGTTTAGCAACATCTAAAGATGTCATCCGTTAACTTCCAACATCCACTGAATTGCATCGCTGCATTTCATTGGTTTTCCAATTTTACCTACCATTGAAAATAGGTTTAACGGACTGTGTGCAAAAGGGCAGAGCATGGCCGATTTTGACATTGCGGAAATTATCCAAATAAGGCCAGGGTGACTTTATTTTCGGCCTTTTAAGCAAAATGGGCACTATTTTGCCCAAATTGTCTAAAAACCTGATCTCAAAGTCAAATAAAAAATGTGGCTTGTTTTGGCTAAAAATGTTTAGTTCTGGTTTCCATAACTTTATATGTCACTTTTATTTTGATGTTGTGCAACTATTTGTTAGGGGAAATATGTAGAGATTATTTACCAATATGGAGTCTGCTTTCAAATGAAATCTTGCTGGACTTCAGGTTTTTAAAATTGTACAGTACTACAGATATACTAAAACCCATGACGGCATCATCACGGAAAATATAATTTACTGTCACGGGTTTTGTTAAGTTATTTATTTATTTAAATATAAGTTACTAAAGATTTTATTTGATTTTATGAATGATAATTTTAGTTTTATCTTTTAATTTACATTACTATCACGTTGCGATCACAACTTTATATTACAATAACCTCACGTGATTGACTTAGTAACGACGTCAGTGAAGATGGTAGAAACATAGAATTAAATGTCATTGAGTACAGACCAAATTCTACGGCTTATACGGTCCGAACCGCCGATATCGGCGCTTCCTTTTAGACCAAGAGGTGGCGAAACGTGGATTTTTAAAGGGGACGGTCTAAAAGCACAGGATTGGCGAGCTGACGGACATCGTTGGATAAACCAAGGCACTGTGGGTCTTCCACGCAAAAATCCGCGGTTAAAGAAAAAATATTTTTATATACATACCGAGAATGGGGCATCAAAAGAACTTGTTAAATTTGTTTACCATGAACCTGAATGCATTAACGGTCCTTTTGTAATTCAGTACATGAACAAATCTCACAGCCGATGTCCCATGGAAATTCAAAAAAACCAGGAACGCCCTTTTTTAAGATCAAAGCCAAGCAGTCTAGAAAAATGGCTAAATAAAACAAAATCGGAGGATCCAAATTTAGTTTATAAGAAAGAAATTCATGACAACAGCCAAGGGACTTAAAACAAATCCAAAATCTGTGACATAAAGGAAACACAGAACTTAGAATATTTCGTGATGCCTTCTACAATCTGCATGCTTTAGCTAGAGACACAAGCAATCAGTTTATTCAGGTAATCAATACTTTCCCAAATTTAGTTGTTATATGCGGACATAAACTTATGTTCGAAGAACTGGAAAGAGTTCTTTACCTTGACAATGAAAGTCAGTGTCTCAGCTATGACACAACTTTTGGATTTCTACGTATCTACGCTGATATTTAGACATATTCTTTTTAAGGAAATGCCATGCATGCCAGCAATATTTATGCTGCATGAGCGCAAATTCCAAAAACACCACGAATTATTGTTCAATTTTTCAAAGAAAAGATATAAGACTTCCGAAAACGCTGTTTGCTTGTGTCACAGATGGTGAACAGGGGATCATGAATGCTATGTCTTGTGTTCCAACACTTGTTGATGTGAGATGTTGGAACCACATATTAAATGATATTGGAAGATGGCTGACTGAACATGGATTTTCCAACTCAGAAGTTCTAGCATATAAGGATCATATTCGATTTATATTTGGAACAGATTCCAGAGATGACGGTATGGCTGCATTTGCCGAATTAAATACAGCCTGGGATGAACAATTTCGAAAGTATTTTGAAGAAAGAATATTACCTCAACTTGGAAAGGTTTCAAAATGGGCAATAGAAAAAATTAAAAAGTACGACCCATACAGTGGCATAACTCAAAATCAGAGCGAAAGTATGAACAAAGTATTTAAACAACTCAATAAATGGAAAGAAGCCCCAGCAGATGTGGTAGTATTGTCATTTCTACGTCTTCATCAATATTATCTTAAAGAAATTTCTCGAGGTCGCGCAGGCACTGGTACCTACACTTTAAAACCTCAATACATTTCAGCTAAAATTGATCTCTCAGAAATTATCCAATTTACAGTTTCACAACCAGAAGATATTGTAAATGGCATTCGTGAAAACCAATTTGTTAATGCAGAAAATGACGCACATCCAGAACCAAATATCCCAAAGATTGATATTAACTTCTCACGCGCCGATGAACTTATAAAAAATGGGTCAAAGACAGAAAAGGCCGGGTTGCATTTGTACACCAAATATCATGAGGCTGTGATGTTACGAAAAAAAATTTCCATTGACCTATTAATGTCGAAAATTTAATTCAGTAGGTAAACAGGAAGTGGATTAGCTACACACCTAAAATCGAATCCCACAGTATGGGACCATGTGTCAATGCTGTATGCCAAATATCAAGAGGCTGTGATTAGTAGTTTCTGAGAAAAATGTTACGAAAATTTCCTACCATTGACCATTAATGTGAACAGGAAGTGGATGAGCTGCAGACTTGAAATCGAATCCCTAGGTATGGGACAATGTGTCAATGCTGTATGCCAATTAATATCAAGAGACTGTGATAAGTAGTTGCTGAGAAAACTGTTACGAAAACATCCTACCATTGACCATTAATGTCGAAAAATCTAACTAATTTAACTAAGTGGATAAACAGGAAGTGGATGAGCGACAGACCTGAAATCAAATCCCTAGGTATGGGACAATGTGTCAATGCTGTATGCCAAATATCAAGAGGCTGTGATAAGTAGTTGCTGAGAAAACTGTTACGATAATGTCCTACCATTGACCATTAATGTCGAAAAAATCTAACTAATTTAAGTAAGTGGATAAACAGGAAGTGGATGAGCGACAGACCTGAAATCAAATCCCCCAGTATGGGACCATGTGACAATGCTGTATGCCAAATATCAAGAGGCTGTTATAAGTAGTTGCTGAGAAAACTGTTACGAAAATGTGTTACCATTGACCAATAATTTCAAAAAATCTAACTAATTTAACTAAGTGGATAAACAGGAAGTGGATGAGCGACAGACCTGAAATCAAATCCCACAGTATGGGACCATGTGTCAATGCTGTATGCCAAATATCTCAAGAGGCTGTTTATAAGTAGTTGCTGAGAAAAACTGTTACGAAAATTTCCTACCATTGACCATTAATGTCAAAAAATCTAACTAATTTAACTAAGTGGATAAACAGGAAGTGGATGAGCGAAAGACCTGAAATCCCAATTCCATAGTATGGGACCCATGTGTCAATGCTGTATGCCAAATATCAAGAGGCTGTGATAAGTAGTTGCTGAGAAAACTGTTACAAAAATTTCCTACATTGACCATTAATGTCGAAAAAATCTAACTAATTTAACTAAGTGGATAAACAGGAAGTGCGATGAGCGACAGACCTGAAATAGAATCCCACGTATGGGACCATGTGTCAATGCTGTATGCCAAATATCAAGAGGCTGAGATAAGTAGTTGCTGAGAAAAACTGTTACGAAAATTTCCTACCATTGACCATTAATGTCAAAAAATCTAACTAATTTAACTAAGTGGATAAACAGAAGTGGATTAACGACAGACCTGAAATCGAATCCCACGGTATGGGACCATGTTGTCAATGCTGTATGCCAAATATCAAGAGGCTTTGTGATAAGTAGTTGCTGAGAAAACTGTTACGAAAATATTTCCCCGCCCGCCCGCCTGCCCGCCCGCCGCCCGACATTCACCATATTATAACCCGGATTTGCACCAGTGCAACCCGGCCAAAAATGACAGAATCGTTTTCGCTCCAAGGCTAGGTACATTTACCATATTAGGACAAGATG